TTATTTTCTCGAAAGATACTACTGAAAGGTTAATGGAATTCCTTTATCTTTCTATGATTAGTTTCCACCTTCTGCAGGGAGTTTATTAAGTAGATGCATTCCCCGAGTTTACATCAAGTTAATGTTCACCGGGAGCTTAAATTTTACGGAGTTCGCAAATTACGATTCTTTGCATATCAGTTTGATTCTAATGGAAGATTCAACTAAATCCTAGCTGAATCTCTCGCCTATGATATTTTGCAAGAAAATACACAGCATGAGGCAACCCTCTTGAAGCATATTCTGTTTAAAAATATAATAAACGAGGGATTCAGCTAGGTTCCAATTGCGTCCCCCATTAAAACCGAACTTGGGTGCAAATGAGTCCATTTTGGAAATTGTCTTCGCCCTTGCAACTTTCTAAATGAATATTTCTAAAAGACGTATAAAATATGAATTGAAAATATGATTTTAAAATGCAGCTAATTTTATTCACTGATGTCGAAAATTGCCAGTAATATTATTCTATCGTAAAGCTAATTTGTTATTTTGGAGTGAGGTATGCCTTGTAAATAGACTGCTTTCCTGTAATATTGGCTCCAAACACTCTTGTCTATTTGAATAAAAACGGTGGTTATCCTTGATAAACAATTATTTTTACAATACTTGCAAGACGTTTGTGGCTGATCCCTGTTTGTATATGAGTTTTCCTTACCATTAATACAGAATATTGCAAGGGGCACCCAATAAAACAATTAGAATGTCAAACGAGTTCAATAGCTTCATCATCATCATCATCAACAACAACAGCGACATCAGTGTTGCCACTGATGCTTCACTACCGTACAACCCATGGTTGTACGTGAGCTGGGATACTGCCAGGGCGCCCACACCTAGACAGGAGGACGATTAGGGTCCTCAACCAAAGCCTTTGGCTCAAAAGCCTAACCACAAGGCAGCGGTGTTTGGCGGGAAATGCCAATGCATTTCCATTTCTACGGAAAACGTCGCCGCATGTTCCAACCACCAACCTGAAGGACCAGGAGCCTGCGTTCGTCAAACCTCTAACAATCGACCAACCTGGTATAACAGAACCTGTGAGTGTCGCGGATACAACCCCAAGAATAGTTCAATGGGTCACTGAGGTGCGAAAACCGCCATACCATGGTAAGGTCCAGTCTCTTCGTGGCGGGTTTAATAGCTTTCTAAGACCTCAAAGAATGGGATCAATATAATTTCCACTTCTTCCTTTGTCGACACCTGATAAAAGATTGGCCCACTCAACTTTGGTAAAAAAACTAATGTCCTTTAACTGCTAAATGTATGGATTTAATCAAGAACGTCATATCCTTGAAGTACGAAAACTAAAAGGACTTTGTGCACTTCAGAACTTTTTATCCACTATTAAAATTTGCCAACCCATTGCCTGGTTACTTTTGGCTCCCAACTCCGGAGGAAGTCAATCAATGATAACTCGTTTACCATCAAAAGCATATATATCCCAAGATTGATCCTGCGCCGCGTTTGATTTCGGATCGGTTTGAGGTTTTGAAGTGAACCGATGTATTTGATACATGTGTTTTTCAGTCCAGCTTTTGTTATAAATAAGATTACTTGAAGCAATCTTGACGAATTCGTAAGAGGAACAAGGCTTAGAATCTAATGTTCGTGACGGGAAAATTTAAAATGCACAATCTATCTGCTTATTGTAATTTATGTAGCTGATCAACCGAAGAAGTCGTGCAAATGACAGGAAAAACAACTTAGTTCACGATGAGACGAACAGCACAAATGAGGGGAAGATAGAAGTTGTTGCCCTTCCTACTCTTCTTGCGGTTCTCATACAAGTTCTCCCTGTTGGCCATACAATGCTATTTGCGCAACGTATCCTTCCAAACACGTTTAGGAGCTTGAGTATACACAGTGATATTAAACCAGTCGATTGGATTTAGAGGAAGCGCATGGGTACGTCAAGTTGCGCAAGGAAGATTTTCGCCATCACAGTGTACACATCTCTAAAGACTTTGCACAAACGATGTGTGCTTCGTTTATCCACCGTCATTACCACTGATAGCATAGCAAAAAGGTTTAGCGCTGATGTTTCTCTGTCGGACAAACACGGTTTATTTGAAATTCATATTAGGAAAAAAATGAAAGTAAAAATAACTTAGTTCTAGCCTACTTTAAGGTGTCCATACCTGCAGGCACTCATTTCAAACATCTGGGTAGAACGTAAGCACAAGATTCCAATTGACATCGATTAACAGCCAATCTCACAGCGTCTCTAACTGTACACATCAGGGTCCATGAGGAAGTGGAAGGCAGATAGCACCAACAGTACTCGTACTTTTCATAATCGATTTCATATACCTCTGTTACGTAAAAGGTTGACCACCCCTTTGCTGGCGGCACCGTATCGAGACCTGAAGACTGACTTCAAGAAGAATGAGGACGCCGGTGTTGGCTGAAGCACAGTTTTCGTGTTTAAGGTCGATTCAAGACCTTTGGATCCACTCAGTAATCAATGAAGATCATTAAGCCTGGTTCACTTCTAACGTCATCATTAGTTACATAAAATTAAAAAAATAACTAATTTTACTCTTGAACTATCTTGCGATCACTGTGACTAAACTCTCTACTGCAGTGAATGGGAGACGAGTGAATGACGGTTCTAAGTACAACAGTTAAACTTTCTGTGTGATTTTTGTAGTTTCCCCAACATGGAAATAAAAGCGGAACAACAGATGTGCAAACGACTCCCCATCGAATGTTTTGACGCAGAGCTGACACGTTCACTCTACCGAAGTGGTGCGTAGAACCAGAAAGTACATTTAATTTTTCATAGAAAAATCAAGTGAAGCCAGTCTATGTTGAAGAGCCAAAGAAGGTTCTATAGGTGTTTTAGCTTTCGCGGGACACGTTAGCAGTGCGGATCCGACTAATCTCGAAGGAGATCTAAACCTATTCATCTTTCGTGACACCTCTTGTCTCCGAATTGGGGAAATTAGTACGCTTGACATATTAATAAAGAAAGAAGAGTTTCACAACCGGCTTTGCAAGCTCACAAAGTAATAAGTATGTTTAGTTTTGATTATACATCGGTTAAGAAACTGCTGTGCCTCAGAATTAATGGTTAGTTGCACCACGGAGTATCACCTCAGCAAGGTAAAAACAAATTCTGGTAACAAAAGGACAAAAATTTATGACCTGTTAAGCATCTCTACGGTGAAGCAAATTTCACTTCCGTTAAAGGCAAATATATCGATTATCAATAAAATCTAAGATCGACTCAAACTTTTCCTTGCTTTTTTGACTTTTTCTGGCAGGAACTCTGGTAAGTTGCGTGGCGCCGTAAAAACGCACAAAAGGTGGTTGACTGATAACTGCACCTTAAGGCCAGTTTCCTCAGGCCTCTGCTGGTCGAGTAGCAGCAACTGAAATAGTGTTCCGCACAATCCACTTTAAATTACACTTTCCACATACGGGTAAAATGTGACAGGTAGGCATCTCCAGTCTTCATTATTGAAGCAGTAAACAAAACTATAGTTTAAAATCACAGAGGACAACCAAATCATACTTGCAAATTTTGGAGTTCAAACGCAAGTCGCCGGGGAGGAAATCAGCGACTGAACAATCAGTACGAGACTTTAGTGGTTAAAAGTCAAGGGAAAACCTCACTTTTCTCAAGTATTCAAGCTGCTTTGAGATGCAACTTATCTCACCTTGGTCGAACTGAATTGTTTAAGGGAGGCCAGTATCAGTGTGATTTGTAATATATAATTTCAGACGTACCAAGTAAAAACTCAACATGATGTCAATGTGTGCCGTTTGATCTTGAACATCCAGGTTACAACTGTTCTACTGCATCACAAATAACCGTTATGGACGGCTATAAATCCAGTATTTCACCCGTTCGTTTTTTCGACTTATCTCGACTGCTCTGCCTAGGGAGTGGCATGTGGCCTGAGGTTTAAGTGAAGCTCTACCCGACCAAAAATTCTCAGCGACAAAAGGGGCGCCATCCAAACCAAACACCATCAAGACGAAATTTTCCACAAGAAACAATTACCGATTGCTAGAGCTGTTTGAGATTGATGTCTTTTACAAAGCAAATTAAACAGCCCAGCTATACATACCATAAATTTGGAACAACACAGCACCTCAACTGTTAGGCTACAGGGAGAAAAAGAGTCCGATCCACCTACCCAAATCTGTAACTAAGATAAAAAACGGCACCTTTTATTCCATCCAAGACTGCTACTATCGATATACATGTCAAATAATTCAGCTAAATAACTGGCGAATAAGTAGCGGTTTTTATTATGTACTAACCCAGGAATAGGAAGCCAGCGAATCCTGCAATTAGGCTTCCAGAAAATGGCATATCCACGACATATAGTTGAAGGTGTATCATAGACACCAAAACATTTAGCAGGAAATCTAACAAGCTTCCATTGAGCGAGGTTGCTCATGTTGCGGGCTATATAGACGTATGATCATTAACCTTGCAAATGTGTCCGTAACTGTTTTGTTTGTTAGACTTTTGGCAAAACTTCCACTACCAAATTAACCAACTGAGCGAACCGACCAAATTTGTTTCAGAATTGCCGCTTCATTCTTCAGTTTAGGGATATTATGAACGAGACTGTAATTTGAGATTTACTTGAGTCACACATCGCCACCAACTAAATTTGCAAATGATCGTCCTCTGTATGCGATTCAGTGTTCCGATAGGACTCCAATCTGATAGTACCCCGGAGATTGTACCTACTTGATAAGACCCGGAAGATAAGAAATTGTTCGTGGACTGTCTTCAAGTTTTCAGGCAGTGCTTTCAGTCGAATTCTCACTGCTCAGACAGTGAAAATCTAGGGTGGTTATAGGTAGTGATCCTCGCTAACTAAGGATCTTGTTGAGCTGGACGCAAATGGGGATAATTTTTTCGTGTGTAAATTTGTACGGCTTTTGATGATGAGCCAACTATAAAGGGACAACCCGAAGGTACCAGAAGAATACCAACTGAGAAACCACTGCAGTGTTTTATTATATCAATTGTTTGGCTTAAACCATCAAGCGAACTGATCAAGCATCTTTATCGGCCCATCATGAAGAATTTGCCACGTTTCTCCCGCAAGCGCGAGCATTGCCAAGCACAGTATTCATATTCGTCTAAAAGTGGTTCTGCTGAGAGAGCGCATTCTTGTAGGCATTTCCGAAATGGATATCTCTCGGCCAGTGTGTCGTCGAATTTTCCAACTGCGGAGGCACACAGCAGGCTGTTTGCCATAACCAGCAGAGACACCAGTGTAAGCTTGATCCTGCGGGTAAGACAGAGAGACGCAACGTCGTGAAAACAAGGCAAACGGGGATGATTATTGAATTATCTTCACTGTTATTATGAAAACTGACACCTTTAAAGGTCAGGCAAGATTTGTCATCCTAAATAGCAGAAAGCACAATCCATGTGTACACTGAAGGCCTCAAAATCAGGTCATTTATCGGAAACCAATTCATTCTGAATCACAGAACGAGCAGAGGGGTAAAGTCAGATTTTACGGAGAGATATATGTTTAGTTTAGCTTCATATAACTTGTTCTTAATGAGCTGAGTCAGTGATTTTACTGTAACAGTATGGAGCAATCATTTTTGTTTTCATTATCACTGATCAGTTAATGACGTTATCCCTTGAAGCGGGCGATATAAGTAGACACATGTCTGTTACGTTAACCAAAATGTTAAAAAGTCTTACAGATTAATAACAGATAAATTGAGTAGAGTTGTCGTTCAAGAGGACGAATTTTAAGCAGTCTCAAATATTAGTATTAGGTAAAAAATTGATCTTCATCTACTCCTCAAGAGAAATCTGGAGGAAAACTAGTTGAATGGCAGCTTACGACAAACTGTAAGTCAAAACTATTTTCACAAAATACCCTGGGTCTTGTTTTAAAGTCGCGCTTGTAATTTTTCACCGTTTGCATTTTGAATGGATAGTAAATCATACATCACGTCAACTTGTGGCCCTATCATGAGCATACTATAATGCTGAACTTGCTCTTTGTGATGATAATGGAATCAGTTTATTTGATAAGTCCTCAATTTTGGAAAAATTGCAACGCATTTAGCATTTGAAAGATCGTTTGTAAATCGAACAAGGCAGTTTATCTGTTAAACTTGCCCTAATTTTGCTTACAGATTTGTGTGAAATTCCACTTTTTGTGTCAGCAAACGACGCAGATACCTGATATCGGATGAGGTACTAACTAATCGTATACACAAAGATGAAGCTTATGCATTTTGGACCGTTCGGAACTGTTAAGATAATTGCTGTATTTGGTGGTGCACTTCGGCAAATTTATAAGAGCACTCTTTCTTTGTTAACTATTTTTTGCCTATCTTGGAATGAATATTCACTAGATAAGAACCAATGTTCCGCGTGGTGTGACTTTTAGTGTACACTGTAAAGCCAAGATTTATTCTTTAAAAATAGACCCAGTGGTGTCAAAACGGTGCTCTTTGCTTCAAGCCGTCTGGTTTAACCGTCAGTATTTGGCGGTTTCAATGAGCTGAGAGATTGAAGCAAATGAGGCCGAAGTAGTTTCGGCACCGTACTACATTAAGGAGTTCGGACTAAGGACGATTTTTGTGTTCCTAGATTCTAGTTGATTAATCGTGGTTCCACCAAATTTGTTTGGGCCAACAAACGATCTATCATTTCATATAGTAACCTTTCGACCACACTGCAAAAAAACTTCCCTGTGATTCTATTTGTTTGTTCTTGTTTTTACTGGACGCGCCGCTTGTTCTTCTTGCGACATCTTCACACCTCTTGTCTGTGCTTTAGATACTACAACTGTTTCATGAGTTATCCGATAATTTCTGACTTTATCAGTAATATCATGTTATATATATATATATCATTTTTAGCATCCATTGCAATTGTGACACTTCAAAACAACGAACTAGCGTTACGCAGGGCGTGCTCTATTTATAACTGCGGGAGTGTTTGCAGTTCTCTGAACTCACATAACTATCGACGCAGCTATAGAACAAGCAACGATTTCAGTGGAAAGAAATTTGGTTAGAAGATGGTAGATGACAACCGTGGTTTTTCATAACTTACGTGACAGTATTAGCATAGCTTCAATAGAAATGGGAAAAAAGTGCGACAAATTAAAGGGCAATTGTCGTCCAATCTACAAGATAATTTTTGGCGAATTCTAGGCCTTTCACGTTAGAAACTGCTCAAAGCACTTTACAGTGCTTTTACAAATGTATATCGTTTCGTCCTGTAGCCGGACGGATTTTTAACACATTGGTTATATCCGGAATGCCCCATATTTTTTTACAGAGATGGGGATTAGAAGGTTTTTTACCCCTTTTTTATCCAGTTTTCATCCAGTAGCTGTCCCTAATATACAAGTAAGCAACACTGGGCGTAATGAGCAATAAGCTTCTGCTTTGTTTTGCTAAAATATTTTGTTCTACTGCAAATTTGTCACCTCAAAAAGAACCTCAAATACAGATGAAGCCAGTCGGCGGACAGTGAAATTTTGAACTAGCAACCATGTAGATAATGACGGTTGATATACTACTGAGTCCTTTTTGGGTGTGAATTTCCGGATGGTATTCCCAATATTGGAAAAGGGGTAGCACCACTACCTAAATGGACAAAATGAAACCAGATATTATTAGATTCTGACGTCTTTTCTTTTTTCTTCGCCACGGAGTTGTTGGTGACTTTGACGTCTCCAAAAACCCACTGTAGCCAATCGTTTTGTTGTGCTGACGCAAGAATTGGAACTAGCTTTGAGCTGGAAAACGATATAACCCGTGAGACATAATATGCCTGGGATGGGTGTGAACTTAGGCATGTAGAAATTGATAATGCTACTTTCCGTTACCACGACAGCAGAATATCATGTTCCAAATAGAAGATGGAGTACCCCACACCTCACCACGTTCTGAGCTACCATCAGTTTTGTTCCGGGAAGCTACAACTTTCACAAAAGCATTAAGGAATCATTGCATGTACCAGCGTATCATGCAGGTATACACGTGCTAGACAAAATAGCCGGTAGTAATAAAGGGGCACGGCTCGCCAGTTTTTCTACGTGTATGTGATATGACCAGAATCCACCTATGAAAACTTCGTGCTGTAAAAGATAACCCAAAGCTTCTCCGCCAAATGTGTCGCGCCCGTTGAGTTCAATTCCAGTTCACCATAAGTTTGATTATTAATTTTCGGACAGAAACTCTTTCCATTCGCTTCATCAGTGAAACCGGCTTGGTGCTTTTGTAATTTTGTCACAGGGCGTGTCAGAGACTGATATGTGTTTCAGTTGATCTAGTTTTGTACATCTGGCGGTGAAAGTGAATAAAGCGACGAAAGTGAAGATAACACTCTTGTCTTCTTCGTAACTTCTGCATTGGTACAAGGATAGCACATCCATAAATTTCGTACTTTCTAGTCTACCCAAGTATGGCGTGTACTCAGAAGTGTCAAAGTTTTTGACTGATTTTCTACTGACAATAGGATAAATACAGCAGTTGACCTGAAAAAACGACGAACCTTAAGAGACCACCAAAAATTTGGTTGCGCTTCTTAGCCTAAAACTGATGTGGCGTTTTTCACTTTTTTAAATCTTGAAAAAACATTAAAAACTTACGTCAACAACTTAAACTGTGATTTGCATGTATATAATATCCATTATTTATGTTGGAATTATTCCACATTCAGGTGTTAAATTTATCCACAAGAAATTACAAATGTCACAGACAGATAAATAACCAATAGATTTTTAGCTAGCAAAAATGGGAACGTCACCAAGTGTCGCGCAATAACATTTTTAAAATAAACGACACTCAGTTGAGCTTAACAAGCAAAACGTCATTGCGACACTTCAGTCTAGTGCTTTGCGTCATTTCTGTTTGAAAGCATCTGTAACGGGACATTCCTTTACCGCGCCCTGATTAATTCGGTAAACAGTAGCTGCCAATCAAGAATATTGGAGAGGAGTAGGCGTGTTTGCTTTTAATTTTGTTTTGCCGTGAATAATGACGAGGAAGAAAGTTGGTCTGCAAATTATTAAACATCTCCAAATGCCTGGAAGCCAGTGTTTTTCGCAACCAAAACTGCGGAGGCTTGGAGAAGAAGAAATCCAAAGTAAATCTTGCTAAAGCAATATGAAGCACCTCAAAATTGTTCTGATTTGTTAACTGCCCCACGTTTGCCGTTCAAATCAGAGTCACGGTACAATGGAACAGGTACTGAATACTTGAACCAATCCCGCAAAATCCAATTTGAAACAAACAACAAAAACACCCAGAAAACCTCACTGTCCCCGAGGGTTTCTAGCACTATCGTATTTGTTGTATTTCGTAGGAATAGAAGATGAACTTTTATGTTACTTTCCAACCTGCCGTTTCTGACGCACCACTTAACATAACTTCATACCGACTTGTCACTATTGATAATCGTTTACAAAAGATTCCTTCCATTGTTTTTTCCTTTTTAGCATTACTTCGCACCTGTGGGCTTTCTCGCGAGAGTAATTAACTCCAAAGGATAAACAACTACAAGTAACAGACATTGTTTCACAGCAGTGAGTATCACCAAGTTTACTCCCAACCCGCTGAAACGAACAAATGGTCTGCCCAAAACCAATTGAAGGCCGACACTATTTGTGTGCCAAGCTTAAAATTTGCCTGCAGACGTGTGTGTATTGTAAAATAAATGTGACAAAAAATAGTTAATTAAGGCTTGTTTAAGACCTATACTGTTAAAAATAAGCAATTAAACAAAGATACTAGCCTCCTAACGTGTTACCATGTGAATTGGTTCCCATATTTGAGTCCTATTTGCAGTCCTAATCTATACTGGACTAGCAGCCGGTCTCATATTCAACACGTCGTCTAAAAGCGCTTCAAGAGAATTGATAGCAACCACAGCTTACCTAAATTCAAGATTATTGGTTCGTTTTATGCGTGATGGTTATATGACAAGCAGTAGTAAACTGTGTAGACGGCTGGGATAAATCATACGATGAGTGAAGAATTGGATACGATCAACGGTATGTAGGTGATTGTACTGGTGCGCAATCCAATTAAATAACGCGAAGAAATCAGGCCGCTAATTTAGGTAGAACGTCAACTTACATTGTTGTACACAAGAATGAATTTAAGCAAGGGTCTGTGGTGTATGAAAAGCGTTCTAGAAACTCGTGTTTAAGTACAAATTGCGTTAAATAAATCTAATTACAATTTAAATCCAAAGCAGCAGAATAAGCTTTCATTGTGTTCGTAAATTTGAGTTTTCAACGAAGTAAAACTGATATTTTTTCCCAAAATATGCATTATGAGCTTATGAGGCAGAATAAATCATATCTCTATATTTCAAAGTGATAAACGTGATCAATGTATTTACGTACTAGCAACTCGAACATTTTGTTTGCCACCTCAGCAAAGGCCACAAAATTTAAACGAAATATCCTACCCTTCCGAACTATTTGATATGAGTTTTAAGCCCTATGGCGCCGCTATTCTCTAATACATAATGTGCGCCGCTTCTAGAAATTTAACAATTTCCAGTTTGCATTAGTTGTACATCTTTATGATGCTAATCGGAATTAGACGGTTAGTTGCTACTCTTCTTCCAGTTTGCCTATTGTTTATTGACTCATTTGAGATGTCCAGATAGTTCACTGATTGCGTAACAGTAGATCAACATTTTGGACGACTCTAGACACTTCACCAAAGTCAAACAGCCTATTGTACGGCTCTTCTCTTTTTTCGATCCACTGCACACAAGTGCATAACTGCTACAGATTGGATACAGTTTGGATGAGGGATCTTGGTTTACTTTTCTGATGCATTTAGGCATAATCATTCTATCAGGGTAACCCCCCACGTACTCAGCTTCAGTCAGATTGTGAGTAGGGTAAAGTGCAAAAAAAACAGGTGATTTGATCACATAAACCGTAATGCTGTTTTAGAGAACAGATTGCCTATCACCACGTCTACCAAGACCATTTTTTGAAAGCAAATAAGTTGCACTCATTGAGTGATTCCTACAGTAGGCATCAATTACACTTATCGTCACATTAGATCAACACCCATTAGATAACGGCAATGAATCGGCTGTACCCAAAAGATGACGTGTAGTCTAGCTCCAGTTTTCCAACTACTCAATCTATGCCCTGATGTCAGTCAAATGATAAACGAAGGTTGTCTAACGGTCGTTTAACCAGTGGCTTAAAAGCACACCACAACTTCATTATCGGAATTGTGATTCACATTGGATGTCTAAACCAGGAATTTCTAGGGAATGCTTTTGGCAATTCTTCACTCCGTTGCAATACACTATTTAAAAACTTTAACAAATGAAAGATTTAGTTAAAAGTTTTGTCAAGCATGGTCTATTGCACCACAACAAATTGCAATTTGATGAACGGAGAATCAGGAAAAGCAACTGACCGCATACGTATGAACCCTGATGTTAGAACCTTCAGAAAGCAAAAGCAAAAACGTACGTAAGAAGATAACATGTGACAGTAATGCGTGCTGCAACAATCAGATTGGGGAAAATTCTTTCAAGAAACCGGAGAAGCATGTCTAGTTCCAGGGGACTTCGCTTTTTGAAGGGGATCTTTTAACCCTTCCCATATCGGATGACCTACAAAAAATTCAGACGGTTTGGTTTGCAGCATGTATTATACAGCGTATTCTAATTCGTATTTGAATCATGCATCTCCGGACATGAGGATTGCATTAGGCAGTTCATTATTGCCGTTTTTATTGAAAGGATCAAGCCTTACATCCAATTATCCACGGACTAGGACTTATGGGTTAGATTCTTTTGGCCGTTCCACCGCAGGCATTTTTTGCGTCACGCGTTATGCAAAATTGTTCACTCACGGTTTGAAAAATTTTCCCTCATTAAAACACCAAAATTAAGCTGGGAAGACAAGACTGCAACGTACTCTTTCTAACGCTTCAATACATGGGTACAAAAACTTCACTGCCGAGCGAGCAGATGTATCAATTGAGAGAATGAATAAAATATTTCAATTTGTTTGAAGCTCACAAGCCAAATACTATAAGGATTAAATTTACGTGTCTTGCAGAAATGAAGAGGATATATGGACCCTTAAATTGGCATTTGAGGTCTGTCATCTCGGCTGAATGATCAGTACGTCACCATCTTACCGAGGTTTCATTAAAACTGCATGGAGCCAAGCTAACACAAAGTACGTATTTCAGGTCAGAACAAATTCGTTTGTTGTAAATTCACCGAGCAGTAGCTTGTCACTCGAGCTTAATGGAAATTCAGTTGTCATCATCTAGAGAAAGAGTATCTCCTTTGTGTTTGTGACGCAACTGAACCGCCAAGTTGGAAGTGTAAATTCAAGAAATGTTGCCTTACTAAAGTTTATCCGCTCGCAAGAAGCATCGGTAGATTAGTAGGCGGAACGTTTCTCTAAACTATTTCCATATATGTTTCTATACAGACAAGTTCGGGAGATTTTGGAATTTTAGCGGAAATGTCATCCTTTAAAACTTAGCTAACTTTTGCCAAGAAAATCGAGAAGCACTGCAGATCCATATCATTTTTTTCATATCAACATCAGCAGTAGATTTCGACACTTATTGGCTTTTGTGAAAATACTGGGTTTAATTACGGATCAACCTCTTTGTTTCGATATTGCGTTTTCCCAAATCAACGCGATTTTTTCCAGGCACACAAATGGGATTTATTATTGGGGTTACAATTAAATGAAACCATCCAGCAGTGTGGTCAAACGCCCTCTTTATTTATGGTATTGGTAAATCTTTTTTCATTAGACACACCTCGTATCCAGAGGCCGTTTTTGAATTCCTGGAAAATCATTCGAATGTACTAGATCTAAACTAGTAAAAAAGTGGTTGAGTAAAAAAATATCGGAGGTACTACTGGGTGGAATCTGTTGAGTACGGATTTTCTCATAAAGTTTTATTAGTCAGCAATTTTCCTGCTACGAAAGTGATGTTATTGTGTTAGAAGTGCTTGTAGCAGATCCCCATAATCCGCAGAGGGTAAAGTTTCTCAATCTTCCCTGCTGCGCTGAGTAAATTTGAAGACCCACATAGCTACTACAGCCCAAGGGTTACTGATATTCGATGTACGACTATTCCTCTAATGGAGACTCACCTGAATATTTGGCGTTGTGGTCTACACTTACCAGAGTAACTCAATGAAATTTGGCAAAGTCGAGATCTCACGAAATATTTCTAATCTCTGTTTGTCTGTTTTAGCGTGCAAGATTTATTGAGATATGTAGTGTCATAATGCTCTGGCCGGTGGCATACAAACGTTTTCCAAAGTTACACAAAGCCATCTACCATTTTTGTCTGTGTTGGCAGCACCTTAATGAATGGCTGACTTGGTGTTTCTGAGGAATTACCAGAGGAAATCACCCTCGACGAACAGTTTGTTTAACGAAAATCGCGAAGCTCTGCATAATTAGAGTTAGCATAACGGATTATTTAACTATACTCTAAACTCAAGTATTTGGGTTGCACCTAGGTGTATTACTTTACAAGTTCATTAAACTATGAGGCCGTTTTACAGCTAAAACATCATATTTAAGCACGTGGGGGGCGAATATTTTTCAAACTGAAAGCATCGAATGAAGCCAAACGGATTTGCTGCATTTCACTTTGAGCTCCTTCGTGAGGCTGGCAAGTTCATTACGTCTTAATACCTGACAACATATTAAGAGGAAGCAAACCAGGCTATATAGCGCGTCCATCGAATCCAATGTTCCTTGATCGCTGAGGGGTACTGAAGCGCAATTCAATCTTGAGAAATACCAACCGAAAGTACAAATGTTTGGATGTCTCAAATTATTTACAACGTAGAAGTTTTGGCATTTTGCTTGATAAAGGTAACTAAACTCTCTAAGGCTCATCATCGGGCAGGAATTTTAGCCAGCCATTTAGTAGACAGAAAGAGGTAACAGTGCGACCACCGAAAAACCATCAATCTAGGGTTAACTCCCGGTGGACGCCACTCCTTCACCTGTGTTATCAGGACATATTCAGGGAACATTTTGAATAGAAACTCGTCAGAAGAGCAAACAAGCTCATGGACCAACGGCACTACAAGTGTAACCGTACCAGCCGTGCAGCTGATGTAATTTCGTTGTGAAGATACGTTGTCCCTACATAACGGAAAGCCTCGAGGAGTGGCCGTAATGTACAGCTCACCAACGGATTTCCTCAGAAGTGGTAATCTGTCAATAAACACAAGAGGTCCCCATTGTGCATTTATTAACGTAAGCATAAAACTACAAAAACTTCCTTAGCTGAGGTCTAACGAGTCCGGCCAAGTCAGACAGTCGGATGTATTTAAGCTGTCACAATTGGTTAAAAGTTGTCTGGTGCACATAATAAATGCTGATATTTTTATGTCTGCCCAACTTCCCCTAAAGTTTTGTAGCCCAACCAGTTGCTACTGTCTCAAAATGTTGTAATTTAGAAAAACAATTTATTTACAACAGGTGAATGTTCACTAATTAATGCTTAGCCCCGAAGATCACCTGCAGTGCCGAGAGATGCGGTCTGGCTTGAACCGTCTATGCTTAGCCGATTTGATAACTATAACAAAGCTGAGAGTATCACATCAAAAAACGTCTCCAGACAGAAGTGTGTAAGTTAGTAGATTTCGATGCATGACAGAGCACGGACCAAATTTACCAACCAGCTATCTCCCTTTCTATGCTACTTGACTATGTCGATATTCGATGAATATCTCCTCCTGAAAAATCACCATTCCGAATGCTTGTAAATGATGGTGGCTGGGGTGAGGCTAGAAAGAAAATATATAGTGTCAGCTTCAATAGAAAGCTACGATTTTGCTAAAAATATTCAGCTTACTTTGGCGCATTTTTTCACAGATGTCTCGTTTGTGATGATACTAATCTATTGCTTGTGTCTTCGATCGCGTGTATCGTGGTAATTGAAGAAATAACGATCGTTCTACAAGTTTACTCTAACAAGACACAATACAGTTCAATGTGAAACAAAACCCTGTATTAGCATTAATAAAGGCCTATCAGCCCAAAAAAACGTTTCAAAATGAAGTGATTATCACCAATAAAGCTTTTCATAGTGAAACGTTTTATTTACACTTGTTTATTTACTGAGCTAAAAAGTGTCTTCCGAAACGCTGAACGATTTTTTACGGATACAAACTTGATACAGCAGGTGAAATCATCTCAAAAATTACTGTTTTGTAATTACAATATCCAGAAATACTACGTTAAAATCACTGCTATTCTCCAGACCTTTCAATATCACACAGTCACGTTTTTTAAACGGATGTAAACATTTTTGCAGTGTTTATAATTTTATCAAGTTTGAAGGAATACAAGCCGATGGATCATACTCAGCATAACAAATTAGTGTTCAGCAAAAATGAGATATCCTTTTGGTGTCTTTCTCCTGACAGAAGTAAAACGGAAGAATATCGTAGGAATTAGTTCTAACAATTTATGCTTAGACCACTATGTAAGTTTATTGACATGCAAGCGCAGTAATTGATATTATTGTGAAAAAATAAACAAAACAGATACAAAACGATATAAACTGCCACAATTTTGCAGCACCAACTAAAAGGGCATACTTACATTTCCTGTAAATATTTCTTGTTGCACCTGTTCGTTAGAGGGAATTTTGAACCTACTCAAATTTTCCATTTGCTGTTAAATAGGTTTCGCATAAGCAGAGTAACCAATGAAATGGCAGAAAATGTTACATTGTGTAATACATCCAATCGTTGTCACGCTTTATGTATTACATTTAAAAAGTCACAGGAACCGAGGGAGAGAACAGCCAAATACAACTATCCCACCAATGAATATTAGCCTGGTATAGCACCAGAACCTCCGTTGATAACGTAGTGAAATGGACTATGTTCTTGGTGTTTGTATCAATTTAATAACGTTTTGGCCTGGATTAGATTGGTTTTAAAAACTAAAATCAGGGAGGGGGTAAATTAGCCATTTTGGTACACATTCCCACAATACTCATTACCGGTGTACATCAGTAGTTTTTAGTGATAAACGTTGTACCCGTTTGCATGGATAGGACAAATAATGCTATTCCCGGATGAACAAATCGATTCTCATAAAAATTTCGTTGACGCGCGTCAAAGATGGTCACCTCTGGACTCATAAGTTTGTCATATTGGCCGGAACTGTGGCCTCAACGAAGCCCCCCTTCTAGTAAAAAGTTTTCACTTGGACCATTCTGACGTTCTTCCACAATAGTGTTGGACAAGATACCCTCAAATTTATTACAACGGGAATGGGAGGCTGGCGCAAAATCTGCTGGCAGATTACGAGATATATTGAACTTTTGAAGCCTCATCAGGTGGGTCAATAGATAGAAAAACAGTTTGTTTTTGTTTTTGATTAAGTGTTGAACTATCCCGCATGCTGAAATGCACATACAAATATTATTGATCTGATTGCGGACTGATTCCTCTACACGGTTTTTCTACCAACAAACAAAAACGTCGATGGGCAAAACTTGTACATTAGCAAGAACAAAACCAAAAGGAACAATGTGATATACCAAATGAACTGCAACGACTGCAACAAATCCTACGTTGAACAAAATGGGAGGAAATTATGTACACGAATAAAGGAACACAACGCGGCAGTCAGGAGACATGACCCCCTGTCCTTGATACCTATGCACGAGTACTAAGAAGACCACAAATTCAATCTGGAAAACGCCAAAAAATTTTGTCATACGGAGACACGCGACACGGACGAGAATTTCTGGAAGCATGGTAATCCACGGCAGATTCGACCAACCGGTGCATCGAACTGGATCCAATTTACGCAACTCTACGTGCACCTCAACCGGAACACTCAAGGAGGACCGAATATTGGATTCACAAACGAGGAAACAACTAACTCCTCGGAGTCAAATCAAATAAGGACAAAGAGGACAAAGATCATTTTCAACATCGACCAGACTACGACGGTGAGGGTTGCCAAGCTCAAAGGTCACGTGGGCATCGGCGACTGAGAAGACGACATAACAGAACAACCAATGGAAGCAGCCGACCGAACAAATAATCGCGGTCAGAGGTCATCCCCGGCTACCAGCACGTATATTAACACACACGTAACACTACTCAACGCACAACCATCAACCCACCTCTACGCACAACTACGCTCCCCAATAACGCACTGATGATGTCACCTCGATTGGTGATGAAACGTTTGCAATCAAATTGCCCAGCTCAGCGAACAAGCCAACGACCATCTACGCTACCTGAGCTACCGACACACTCACTGCATCATTCAAACTATTCTACATACCCAGGATTGCGTTGTATCGGTCTTTATAAGGTCGAAACTGAGTGATATTCAATCCTGGTTTCCTTGTTCGTTGCAATTTGCATACCCGTGGCTACCATGTAGTTTTCCAGTTCACAGACATCCGTACTAAACTTTTCAATGATTGGTGAACACAAATTTTAACGTTGGCTTATTTGGGGCACAAACCATGAAATATCGACAGTAGAGTCGATGGAAATCAAGTGTCATTTAACATGAGCTACGGTCATAACAGTCGTTCACTTACGCAATAAAAAACAATTTATACGAAATTAATTTTGTGTTGAGAACTCTTACGTTAGGGTAGCAGTATTTCTCCGTCAACATTTTTTGAAACCTAACCAATATGCATTCAGTGAACTAGAATACTAGTGAAACGGGACGGCACACACGGAACAAATAACCTTAAGGTACGCACAAAACAGGACGGCTCAAATTTCAAGAAATTGCATAAAGACAATAATCAAAACAGCATTAAATGTTATAGGTAGCTCGGGTGTGTTTACTGGTGGCTGATAGGATGGCAGTTGATCTGTTCGCCGAGCTTGGCCATTGGCTTGCAAACGTTTCGTCTCCAGTCAAGGAGACATCGTCAGTGCGCAGCTGAATGCGTGCTTCCTCCGTGCCTAGCTGCGTTTATGTAGTTTTTTGTAGAGTATCTAATATCCTGTCATGTGACTGGCTAGTTGGTATATGCCTTCTGTTGCATCATGGTAGGACCGACCGTGATTTTGTTTTGCTGCTTTGTGGTCAGTATGCCTCTTATTTCACTGGTTTGTTGGATGGCTGTTTTGGGGTGTTCCGAGTCTGTTTGCAATTGGTCCGTTCCCGGTTTGTGTTTCGTTGTGGCCTTCCTTCCTTAGTTCTGCTTGGTTGTGACAGTGTCTTCTGTTTTTGGTAGTTTCCTCGCTTCAGCCTGATCACTTGTTTCTTTTCTCTTTGTCCGCCTCTGCGTTCTGTAGCTCCATAATTCTTTTTTTTGCAGTGGCCGATAGACTGGACCAATTTCGATGTGTTTGTTGATAGCTTTTTCAGTAGAGTGCCATGCTTCTATGAATTCACGTTCTTTCTTTGTACTCGCTTGGGCCAATATGTGAACGGTGCTCCAGTTGAACTTGTGTCCCTCTTGATCTTCATGTACGGAGACGAGCGAAAATTGGTCATGCCTCTTGGATGCGAGTTTATGTTCATGTATCCTGGTAGAAAGCTTCCTTCCTGTTTGTCCCGGGCGGTCACGGTCGGTCCTACCATGATACAACAGAAGGCCTATACCAACTAGCCAATCACATGACAGGATATTAGATACTCTACAAAAACTACATAAACGCATCTAGGCACGGAGGAAGCATACATTCAACTGCGCACTGACGATGTTTCCTCGACTGGGGACGAAACGTTTGCGAGCCAATGGCCAAACTCGGTGAACAGATCAACTGCCGTCCGATCAGCGACCAGCATTAAATGATGTAAGCAGTAAAGAATTGCTGCCCCAAATCTGCAAACAAACCATCAGACGTTTAGCACAGTTTGTAGCACATCCCTTAGACTTAGTCCCCAAAAGCGGAATTACTCGATCCCTCATTTGCGCAGTAATTTCGTTGGTTGTCCATCCTGAACTAACATGCATAACGAAAGTGCTATAGCTGTACCTCTGATGAACTCCCTGATAAGCAACATTATGCTGGAATTCTTTGCATCATTTGCTGCACACATGTCACCCAGTTAAATTGTTGTGAAGACACAATCGCATCGGCGAGTTTCTCGTGCATATAAGATCAAATTTAACGTTCGAACAAATTGCTGTTTGAGTTAACGGCGTCAGCGCCTCAAAACTCCTCTCACTTGATTAGCCTCAAAAACAAATTCTTGTTTTTGTGGGGCTTATGAGCAATTTTTCTGTGCTACTAAATTCTGTAAAAATCCCGCAGCCAACACCTGAAACAAAATCAGCCCAGTGTGTTTCAAGCGTCTGTGAAACTACCTGACTGAGATGCTCTGACTGGCGGGCCAGTCGTTCGAGGCGTCGGGCGTTCCGCCCTCATTACCCAGGCGCGAACGTGTTCAGCTGTTCAAAAGTAGGAATCTGGAGGAGTCCAGCGTGGGGGGTAACAAACTCACCTCGCATGTCAGGCGTGCGGAGTTCGAACCCCGGCACGGCCATTGGATGTGCACGGTTGACGAGCTCTAATAAGAGGGAAATTCCAGTCCAATGCTTCCTCCTTTTGGCGTGAACTCACCGGGACGATTGCTCAAACGAGAGTCGCGTGGGTGTGC